AGTTACAGCGTCCAGGGAGGCAATGGAGAAAATCATTCACGAATACTACTCGGATCTCTTTGATAGGCACGTCCACCCTCCATCATATGAAATAAAGGAAGATGGGTATGTTGTACTACCGGTTCTCTCTTCCGAAATCCGAGATGCCATTTCGTCGGTGAGCAATCGAACAGCACCAGGTCAGGACAGGATAAGATCAGAGAACCTGAAGAACCTTCCGCCAGTCCTTGTAAACACACTGACTCTGCTCTTCACACGTTACCTGTCTGAATGCAAGGTCTCTACCCAGTGGAAGACCAACAAGACCGTGTTATTGTTCAAGAAGGGTTGACCTGCACGATATCGGCAGCTATCGCCCAACCTGCTTACTGTCTGTCGTCTACAAACTTTTCACTCGAGTCATCCTAAACAGGATTGACAGAACACTGGACAATGGACAGCCATGTGAGCAAGCAGGGTTTCGAAAAGGCTTTAGTACAATGGACCACATCCACACGATAGCAAGACTTACTGAAGTATCGCGAGAGTACGAAATACCGCTCTGTCTCGTTTCATCGATTTACAGAAAGCCTTCGACTCAACTGAGATAGAAGCAGTCATGGAAGCCCTTGATAGCCAAAGAGTCCCTACTCAGTGCATAACGATTCTTCGCGAGCTGTGCAAAAATTTCACAACCAAGATATCACCATTCTACAACGATGTTAACATTGACGTCAAAAGAGTTCGGCAAGGCGATACCATCTCGCCAAAGTTATTTACCGTCACCCTCTAGAAGGTCATGCGAACATTGGAATGGGATAACATGGGAGTGAAAATCTATGGTCAGCAATTACACCATCTTCGCTTTTTGAAGATATCGTTCCTATAACACCAAAGATTAGCCAGGTGGAACGAATGCTTACCAACAAAAGCGAGGTTCATGAAGAACGGATTGGTTTCGCCTGCCCCATTCACGCTCAACGGAACGAATATCTCCGAATGCTCCAGTTACGTCTATCTAGGTCTGGAGGTCTACATCATGAACGACAGTTCTAGAATTGAACAAAAAGCGAGCGCCTAGGGAGCTTTCAAGAGCATCGAGGATGTAGTGAAGAGAATAAGGAACACCTGACTCTATGCCTACCCATTCGATCCCACGATACCTCGTGTTTTAATGTGTGCATCAAAAACCTGATTGCTGCGTAGGACGAATGAAAAATCACTCCTCGTTATTGAATGTGCAGTCGAAAGAGCTATACTTGGAGTATCCCTGTAACATAAGTAAGGGAAAGGATCCGAAGCTGCGACCTGCTAAACGATGAAAAATCAAAGATGTCGTTCTGTACATCAAACAGTCGAGGAAGAGCTGGACACGCAATGCGTATGAATGACAACTGATGGACAAGAGCCGTTAGTGACTGGATTCCTCTGGATCTCAAACGTACTGCAGGAAGACCACCGACCCGTTGGTCAAAGTTTTTCATGAAAGGCGTGGAAGAAAAGTATGACGCTCAACAAGTTCCTGGAGCGAAGAAAACCCAGTGGGCTGCTCTTGCGCGCGACAGGGTAAAATGGAAGATTTACAGTTCACGACTATTTATGCTCCTCTCCTCAAAGGTCGTCTAAGCATTCGTAGAGAGCTAGGCTTCATATCTATTGAGAATTCGGAACTCTGGTGTAGCTACTTTTCGTTACTGTATGTCCAATCAAGGTAGAGTATGCAAAGTCTGTTAACAAGCTTCACTTTAAAGTGGAACCTTCAGTAGTCGAAGGTTCACAGTAAGTGGTACAGGACAATGGAGAACTAATTTTAAAGTGTAATTCACGTTCCATTATCCATTTCTTCAGTTAACTAATCTTTTGACAGTATCTTGTTGAAGCGTCAAGTATTTGGACAATCAGTGAAATGCTTGTAATTAGAACAAAGGAAGTCTGCAAATATAGATACCATTTATTAGATGGCACCTTCATTCGTTTCAGGGAACAGCAGTGTTCTACGTCTCAGTTTTCCAGTACATTACCTTGGTTGTGGTTTATTCTAAGGGACCTCCGTATCGCAAAACACTATTCAGTAATCAACCGCTTTGTATCTCAATTGTTTTTGTCACTCTGGTTAGTTTACGGTTACTCGTATTTTCTATAGTTATAGAAAATGAGATATGAACGGGCTTTAATTTTATGAGCTTTGGATGCTCCATATTAATTTTGAAGTGCACTTTTATACTTCACAGATGTTCTTTTTTATATTTTGCCTCTTTTTCTGGTATCTTTAAATGTCTTTTGCAAATTACCATAGAAACCGACTTCTGGAAATTTTAGAGCATTTCATTTGCTGTAATGTACGCATGAGATCGGGAAGATACGTGCTACGGTTGAGTGATAGTAGACCGATTGTCAGTCAAACGTCTGAAGCCTTAAAGTGTTTATTTCTCGTCGGTTAGAAGTTTCCATGTTGTTAAAATACTATGCGATAACAATTTCTGTGAAAGCGCACATATTAAAAATGTCGTGGTTGAAGTGTTTCAACTTACTCTGCTCAGCGCAAAAGCTTTATACTTTACACAGTCGGCATCTCCTAGTATTCTTAGCTCGTTTTATGTTTCATTCTTGTCTCTGAGATTTCGGATTTTTAAATATTGTGTTTATTGAGGTTTATTACGTTCTGAAAGATTTGGCTGTTCCAGAAGCTGTTACATTATAGGTATTAGACCTAAATGGTGCTTGCTTTTCAGTTATCACTTTCCATTATTCTGTGGTCTCCACTGTGGTTGCTCGACTTCATGGGTAATGTGGATTTGCCATCCGCCGAGTTCCGATGTTTGATCGTCCTTATCGCCGCCATCAATGCCATCTTCTCCTTTCTTTTTGAAAAGGTCTTCGTTGAGCGTTTCCTAGTGGATTTTGTAGGAAGGTCTGCATTTCTACTGAATTGTTCTCGTAACAATTTTTTTGTGTTCCAGTCCATATGGTTATTTTAAGTTTCGTCAAAGACTGACATTAAAGATATACCACTGTAGGGAATGTTAATGGAATATATCTGTATATATGTTTTCACGAAGTGCCCTCTTTTAGTCGACGCGAGATTGGTATGGATGTTCTTATTGTTGGTGTTGTCGTCTTTGCTCAATGGTTGACATTTCGGCGGCTTCGGCTTCCTCAGAGCCTGTGTGTATCATATGTCTGGACGTATCATGTGCTCTGAGGAAGCCGAAGTCGCCGAATCGTTAGCCATTGAACGAAGACAGAAACAACAATAAGAACATCTAACATATACCAACCTCGCGTCGGCTAAAAGAGGGCGGTTCGTGAGAACGTATATACAGTTAAATCGATTATTGTGCCGAAGTTTATAGAAAGTCGATCTTTTGGGTTGCTGCAATATTTTGTTTTCTTTCAAGAAAACCGAAATTCCTTCAAAGTTATTGCAAAATTGACTCTGCGCACCGTATTTTCTTTCGCGGTTATTTCATTTGGTTGAGTATTTCTGACGTTGACATTGTGAAAATGGAGCACAGTTAAAGTTTAGTAGCTATTACAAAAATTTTTTTCTTGAACTAAGGCCAATGGAACTTTCTAATCGGTCAATGTCTGCGGGTTATGATCTAACATAGAACGTTAGCTCATACGTTAATAACCTTACGTTATTAAACGATACTCAATTTTGCACCGTATTTCATTTAAATGACGCTATTGCGGCTAAAATGATCCATAGCTAGTGATTTAAAAGAGCATTGCTTGGCACTTTATGGGTATTACATTCTTTCAGATTAGGAAAACCGCATGTCAAGTTTGGGTGCCCAGACGGTGTGCTCGTGAAGAGTGACGTTTCCATTTACGATTGGATTCTCTCTCGAATAGGTGCCGAGGCGTCGTGGCTCACACCACGACTGAGTTTTACGTTGCGACAGTAACAAAAAATTGGTCCCACGAAACGCCTGTGTTGATTGCTTATGACATGAATCTTGAAAGTATCATTGCTTACTAATGGTTGTAGATATTTAATAATCTCTAGGGTTTAATGGAGAACAGAGCATTGCTCATTGCGAACATCAGTAGGATTTCTTTCTGAGTGTCTAAATGGTTGAACATGAGGAAACTTGTTCTTCTCAACAGGATAGTTTTGGAGATTTTTTTAAAAGTTTCCAGAAATCATGATTGGGGCAATTGTCTGTATGTGTCTTCAATAATCCGAACATCAAAGAAACATATCGGTTGCTTGTTATTCATTGTTGGGTCATTAGTACGAGTGATAATTTCACTGCTGTTTAATCTCAAAGCGCTATCTGCTTCTACCCATCATTTTGTTTCCTAGGATTTCTTTCTAGACCTACCTACTGTCGCCTTACTCCTGTGTTACTCGTTCTGAAGTTGTTTATTCCAGAATTGAGACTTCGTTACTGTTAATACTTGATCCTGTTGATTCCGTTTGCATGACAGTAATTTTATTCGTCTTTAATCGCTTTAATAGCTGTTTTCTTTCGACACTATGTTCAACCTTTTGTGCGTCCTCAGCGCCACACAGCTCCACACTATGTAAGAATTCGTTATATCGCTTTTCAATCCGGATTTGTTTCCTGGATTCCTCATTGAGCATTGTATCGGCAATTTATATCAGATCCGTCGTCTATTTCATAGTTTTCATCATGCACTCTTGAAAAAAAACTAAACCTCAAATTTTTGGAACATAAATATAGTTCCCCTCCCAACGGTTTACCGCCTCATCGTGGCTGGGAGGTGTTCCTCGGTGTCGGACTGCGATGTCCAGTGGGGGATTCGTTCCCCCGGCAGGGTCTCCCAAGCTGAGAAGGAGTCCGGCGTTTCCATCAGGAAGCTTAGCTAAAAGTAAACCAATACCAGGATCCACCACCGTCTTGGTATCAAAGTCGCATGGTGGTAAGTCTCTCTTTGATCTACAAAGGATGTGACTGTCTGTCGTGGTGACGACCTGAGGCAGACTTTGGCCAGGAGGTCCTCGGAATTCCAGAGAACCATAATGGCTTAACCAGCAAATCTCCGAAAATGGTGATTATGTTGGGGCGCGCGCAACTAGTGATGCCGAGTCGTTCAGGTATCAAGTTCAAGTAAGTAAGTAAACATACTGTAATGCTGAGACATTTGGAGAACTCTGGACCGCAGGTGTCTGCGGTGGGGAACAAACGCGCTATTGTCCTTTCCGGAGAGTAATGCGTTCACCACTACACCATGCGGGTCCTTCGTTTCGCCTGTCTCTCAGCTAGTTCTATTGATCTTTTGCCATCAGCAATCACCCGTCAACGGAATTGATCTCCGGAGCCCAAATCAGCAACGTACCCAGTTAAGCTGAGGCTGTAGTTATAATCACAATCTTAACCTTTTTTATTAACTGCCTATTTTTTTTAACGGCAGTATATTTTGTGGAGTATAACTACTATAATGCTGAGGTGCTACGGTCCGGAGTTATGCAAATATTTCAGCATTATAATAGTTATATTTCGCAAAATATCTTGCCGTGTAATAGAATAGGCAGTAAATAAAGGTTAGGTAAACATAGTTCCATCATCACCAAGGTTGTGTCAACCATGTGACCTACACGAAAAGTCCTGTAATAAAGCTCATCGGTTTGAGCAGTATTGGTATAAGGACGGTTTTTAAAGTTTGCTTAATTGGTCTGAGAACATATTTTATGAATCTATACGCTTCCCGAGATTCCTGTGGTAGGGCGTTCTTTGGTTTCATCACAGAGTCAATCGCTGGCTTTGGTTCTCTTCTCGGAGGGAGCTCTTCCCAAACAAGTTTGTTACTGACTTCCTGATCCCAGATGGATGAGAGATATGTTAGACTCCAAGGTTGCACCAGTGATCACACGTGAGTTACTTCACGACACTTCTATCCACCACGCTTCTGGATCAAATCAGAAATAGCAAATAGGAAATAAAATGTTGTAGAGCTTCCAAAAGAGTCGTATCTTTTGCTTGGATTGCTGACAAGCGGACTCACGTTGGTTAGTATTATGCCGTGATAACAACATGTCATTGATGAGGAAGGAGTGGTTTTACTCGTGTTTGTAGGAGAAAACGTTATATTATGTAAAGAAGTGAAGAGATGAGAATTCACATGGTTGTGCACGATTTTTCTCTTCGTGCATTTCGTTGCCGTACCGGTTCTTTATTACGCCAATCTGTTTAACTATCCGTGACCAAAGACAGTGGAGGAAAACAAACTTCGTGGAATCGCGGCAGTTTGTTCAATAAGTGATTTTCACAGCTTAGTTTTTGAGGTTCGACGAGATTGTTTTGTTGATACAATAGACTCATTCTGTCCATTCTGCTCCAGATGAACTCCAAGGGAAATCTTACAGTATGATGAACTCTAGTATAATATTCGTCTTCATTAGGACTCCGAATAAATGCTCTAGACTGAGTTCCATTGAATATAGGAATAGCTAGTATAAATATTTCCGTCTATAATTATCTAAAAAGTCAGCTTTTATACTTGGATACTTGAGAACTTGCATGCCGTCTTCGCTGGTTGTGCGTGCGCCAGCATGATTTCCAATACTTTCGGAGTTTTGCTAGTTAACTACTGTGGCTTCCTGGAGTGCTGAGATCAGCGTAGCCGAAGTCTTCCCCAGGTCGTCACCACCACAGGCAGTCACCGCCTTGTGGATCAGAGGGGGATTTTCCACGGTGCAACGAATTTGATACTAGCACAGTGGTGGATCCTGGTGTTGGTTTACTCTTAGCTGGGTTTCCTGATGGAAACGTCGGACTCCTTCTCAGCATGGGAGGCCCTGCTGGGAGGGTGAATCCTCTCGCTTTACATCGCAGCCTGACACTCAGGAATGCCTCTCAGCCACGGTGGGGCGGTATACCGTTGGGAGGAATAAGTTAACTTAGGATTATGAAATCTGTGTGGACGATAAGTGATTGTTCAGAGGCGAACGGGAACGCGGGAAGAGTTCTGCATGACAATGTCAGCAGTGGATCTCTTACCACTTAGTTTGAAAGGAGAAAAATGAAAACAGAGCTGTATCAGATGTTTTTAGTTGTATCTCTATGAATTTCTTAGAAACGATGAAGGGATTAGTGGCAACTTGTCACGGCCATAATAATATCAAAGGTGAATCCGGCAACAAACAGTGGAAATGATATTGTATTACAGAAGGAGTAGAGCAGACAAATTACGTCCTAAGCGTTTTAGTGGGTAAGTCATTTTTGTGGACGAACATTTGCCTGAATACGCTCTAAAAATGGTGGAAAATTATTTTAAAAAATAACTGAAAAGTCATGTATAGGTGTAGAAGAGTATGATGAGGGCTAAATTTCCGACGATATTTCTTCTGCTTTGAAAATTTCGTTGTTTAAATTTTAAGTTATTCCGTTCCACAGCATCTCTAGTGGAAATTCAGTTCGAAAGGTATGCTCATCAGGATTTTACATTCACGAACACTTGAAGCTTCCGCTCTCAAAATGAATTTCAGAATTCTCAGAAGCCTCAGATTCTCAGAAGTTATTGGCATGGGAGGCATGGTTTTATTTCAGAAAAGCCTGAATTCCTCAAGGAAAAAAATTCGAAGTTTTCACGTTTGTTAATGAACGATAACAGAAGTTGGTTGTACTGCTATGACGAGTACTACTCACTACTGGGCCATCTGTCTACTCATTCATTTGGGAAAAATAGGAAAGTCATAGAGAAACATCGTCTGTTGGTCGAGAAATACAATGTACAGCAACGGTCCTTAATCTCACATTTTAATATAGAAAAAATCGAAATGTGTACAAATGCTTTGGTTTCTTTGAATTAGATAGTTTGAAACGGTTAGATAGAGCTATGAACAGTGGTTTCGAATGAAGATTTCGACAAGAGTTGTTAAGAGAGAAAGTCGCGATTTTAGGGCGCTTTTGCAACGGCGAAAGCATTGTCGATGGGATTTAACGAGAACCACATCTGGCTTCATGATAGACATCGGCGCTTCAACACAGATGCACCAGAGCCCTTGTATGTTCTTGCTGCCACCAGATCCTCTTTCCTCAGATTTCGTCAGTGGTTTCGGTTCACTTCGTTCGTCCCATCGTCGTCTATAGTGCTTCTGAAGTATTTCAGCAGTCAGCATTCAAACCGGCTGTACTTTCATACCGTGGTATCTAAAGTAAAGTATCTTCAGCACTTATTATTCCGTGAATTCAGTCTTCTACGATTTCTAAGGCTCTTAGTGCAGAAATTTCTGGGCACATTTTAGCTAGTTGCAATTCTTTTCTATTGCAACAGTTTCCTCAGATATCACTCAATTCTAGTTGATGGAAATCCGAAACATGTGGTTAATTAGGTCAACAATTAATCAACAAAAGGCTTGGTAAGTCAGTGAGTTAATGGCTCTTTTTTATGACCGTGTTTTTTCTCCAGAACTTGTTTTCCCGACTTTTAGGAGATAAGCGGTTGTTTCACTACTTTTATAACTATGTTTGCTATCAGAAAATACGGCTTGAAATAGCTCAATTTTGTAAGTGCTGAGTGTCTTATTTTTTCTGAACGCTCCATAGAGGCGATGTTACGGAGCGAGTGAGCATGAAATGGAGAAAACATAAAATTTTATTTATTTCGAACCACAGGAAGTGTTTGTCTTTGTGAGGCGTCCTTGGTTATCCAGTCGTTTCTGGTATAAACGGTGGTGGAGGTTGGAGCCATTTATAAATAGCGTTTTTTGTTAGGATGACAAATTACTGCCTGGTACTCATGCTGTTTAACTTCCGATTTCAGTTTTTCGTTTGTTGGTCTATAGATAGGAATAGCTATACGATATTCGTATTATCGAGCATATCCACTTTTTGCTTTTTGGAAAACTTCCGAAATTATAATTGTAAGGGGCGCATGTGGCACAGTGGTCGGAGTCGTCCTGCAACATACACGTGGAATCGATCCTTACGCCCATGGCCCACCAAGCCTTCCATCCCTCAAGGGTCGGCAAATTGGTGCCAGACTTGTCTGGGAGGATATCAGCACTGGCTCGATACATCAGTAGGTCACCGCTAGTCATTGTGAAAGCCAGACATGCTTTCAATCACCTCCAAACGATGCTTAATGAAGTCGAATGCATGGCACATTCCTCAGGGATTGATCAACGCCGAGAGCTTTTTTTATAATTATAACTCCAGAGAACACGTTTCTACTTTGAAGAAATCAATTGACTGAGTCTTGTCTGTTTTGAACAACCTTCTTATTGAGCACACCTTCTTTGGGCTTCGTTGTACAGGGGTAAATCTATAAAAACTAACTAAATATGAGGGACTAGATCAGACCATTCTACCGGTTCACCATACCGTACCGATCCTTGGATTCTGTAGGTGCTCGCATTTCATTAAAGATCTAACATCACGGATTTTCTATCGATTTCTTCCTCTTAGCGTTTCACCATATTGAAAACATAAGTTTAAGTAACATAGGTAACATAAAACAGGAAACGTAAACTTAATTGCCGATGGTTTACAGAGTAGATGACAGGATGAATAGCTGTGTTTATCCTGTTCGTTGGTCTCTCTTTCACCCGTTTTCTGTTGCCTAACACTCGGATCCTTTTATTCCGGTCTGTTCTTCCACCGTGCTCTCACACTTTACTCCATTCCTTCTTCGTTACGAAAACAGGGCATACATGACTCATAGCATCTCCTTACTACAACACCTTTTTACATGATGCTCTTTGTTCAGTCTTATTTCGCCTATGATGTAGCTTATTCTTTGAGGTAACAAAATAGTCGTTATTACAAAGAAATATTTTGCCGAAAAAAACCAAATTCATATTTTTCGACGTATCGCAGGAATTCTCAACGAAACCATTCAAGATCTATCCTGAATAAACTCACTAGGGCTGTTCTATACTGAATGTCATCACCTCTGTCTACCTGTGTGGATGCGTAGTGGAAGTGGAGAGAATCCGATGGATTTGGTGTCGCGACGTGGTAAGATCCTGAGAGTTCATTGCCACTGGCATGTGCTGGTGCGCGGCCAGGCTTTCGCCGCGACCACCACCGCCGTCTTTCCGTCGCCGCGCTCGGTCGAAGGAGGCAAGCGGCGGCGCACCTCGTGCGGGTGTTTGAAGGGCGAGCTTGATGGCCCATAAATGTAAATGCGAGCCATTGTCGATGTGGCCCTAACCGATCGATCTTCATCTTATTTCACAGCAACCTACCATCACCCTGTTTTTCCACCTACACCAACCATCTCCCCACTTTCGACTTCGTACTCTCCGATTTTCAATCGACGATCGACACTCGCTCGTTACATTTTATCTTTAGGAGAAAAGTTTGTCTAAAGTAGAAGTTTTGGATTGGTCATAAGCCTAATGGCTTCTGAAATATTCCTCTACATAGTTATGGTACAAAAGATATTCTTCTCTACTAGAGTTAAACATTAGTAGAACCAGGGTTTCTATTCCTTTTCATACGAATGCATTAGTTAGACAAATAAAATTCTATAAAAAAAACAAGTGTTAAGCTATGTAGAACGATGAATCATGCATAAAGTTCAAATCTTATTGTGATGAAATTATTCGAGCTCATGGCATTTGTCAGCTCTCTACCGTTACCTCATAACTATCGCGATTTTTGCTCTGGCTGAAATATTTCAGGTATGAAGTTACTAGTTTTATTCATATTTTCACTACTCGATTACGTCTACCCCACCGCAGCTATTCCTTATAACTGGTTGTGAGTTCTGTTTCCTTCGTTTCGGCTTCTTCAACAAATCCGTGGGCAACAGCACTGCTTTCATCTACATATCCTACAATCACGACTAACCCATCATGTATGACTATAACGGGTACCAGTTAGGTCTCCATTCGTCTTTAGAGTCCAGAATTGTACACTTTGTTCCACTCATTCTAGAGAGGTGAAGATCATTATACTCGCTATGGGTGGCACTTTATCTTTAATGTTTTTAGCGGGAGTGCAGGAGTAGCTTACCGGACTTTACCATGTTTTTTGCTAAGTACAACTGCTGGCAGTATGTCGGTCTCTCCTGGAATAGAAGTTGAGCTCATTCGTTGGAGAAAAACTTTATTCGAACTCAAACCGGCTGTCATTCATTTATATGACTGCATGTACATGAAATGTAAAAGCCAATCCTGCACTACTGAGATGGACAGCCCATTCAGAGAATCTCTCATCCTCTATGGGTGCATACGTAACTACTTCTTGTCTGCAGTTAACCTCCCTCCTACCGCCGCATGGAGACGTGCCACGTAGCACAATTATCATGGCCGTAAATCCTGAAAATCTACAAAACGTTTTTCGAAGTTTGAGACTGCTCATATGTGTATGGGACAAGTTCTTTTACGAAAAAGTAATTTTACGCTATCGCGCCCAAATTTCTTGCTCCATTTTTACATAATGGAAAAGAAACATTCTGGAAATACAAGGGGCATTTAGTAAAAATATGGTATTGCAAATAAATCGATTGAAACTCACCGCAAATAAATATTATAACTCAAGTGAAGTCAAGAAATTATGGTCGAGCAAACTCTGCACTACCGTAATCTCCTCCCTTCGCCTTTCCAGCACATTTCACGGTCAGGAAATTTTCCAGCAGTTATGGTCTACCCAATATCTCACCACCTTCCAATCCTTCCTTCATAGACTACTTCCGCTTTCCTTTTTATGTTTCGTAAATCAAGGTAATTGATAATGTAAAGTGATTTCGAACGGCCATCAATTCGTAGTGTTCAGGTAATGCGCGAAAAAACCTACTCAGGAAGTGACTCTGCAATTTTATTTCGAACTGCGCCAAAGATTGTCATTGGTTTATAGCTGGTTTATACTTCTATGCTTTGCAGTTAACTCAGTGCCTAAGAGATCAAAGGATGGGCGAATTCGAAAATCATTCGAATTTATTCGAACAAAGACATCCTTAATCCTACACGTAATGGATCTTAAGTGGTTTTCGCGTCCGAGGTGTTGGCCAGCATCAAATGAGTCAGAGTGGACGGCTAATGAATGAGTTGCGACGGCGACTGAGGCTGAGAGTGCGTGTTCAGGTCACTGGCGCTGCTCAGCTCATCCGACTACAATCCCCGTCCGCAGAGCCACGGCGATCGGGCACACTACGAGGTGCTTTGCAGTCGTCTGCTCGGCTTGAATCCCGTGCAGAAAGCACTCTGTGTGCAGGTAATTCTCCGATCAGAAATGCCATGCGCTTCCTAACAACATCATTTCTCCTTCTCATTGTTTTCCTTTGTATTCTTTAATCCAATTTCGTACAGCTCTTGTTCAGCTCAACTTTCTTCTTTTCCAAGTCTCCAGCCTAATCCAGTGAATTTATTCAATGTGCCGCGAAATTTTCACTGATTGTGTGCGGTATATCACACACGTCAATAATTTAGTGCGTCAGTCTTTCTTTTAGATTAGTGCCATGTTTTTTGATAGTGACTTGTAAGGGTAATGTGCTGCCTAGAGGTTAGATTTACCACGGAATACACAAGTGGTGGTTGGTTGTGTGTGATCATAAAGTTGACATCAGTTTTTTCTCTGAAGAACACTGAAATTCTCAAGTATAGGATGAATTTGCATCCAATCACCTCTGCGATGCATAGCGGACTTGGCTGCTGGTGCTTAAAACAACACCGAAGCGTTGACTCTTCTACCCTATGAATGACTTAGTCCTTCAATGGGTGAATGACTCGTTTTTAGGAAGAATCGTTTGAAGCCACAGTAGAGTTTCCACCTGACTGGTAATTCGCCAATCAAGCAAGGTTTAATGTACCTGTAGTCTCGGGATGGCAGTCCTCGAACTTTCCCTAATCACCATCACACATAGTGATGGATCTTGTGGATTTCAGAGAATTTTCCCACTTTGTGAGTAGATTTCTTTCAGTATGGCACTCATTCTTGAAACTGATTTACATTTAGTCGGGCTTCCGGAAACCTCGAACTCTTTTGCGATGGGAGAACCTACTGGAGGATGAAGCCACTATACAGTGCAGTGCGAAAACCCATAAATGTCACCTCGCCACGGTGTGATATTAAACCAATGGGGGAAAGAAGTGCGAGGGAAAGACATAATATTGGTTGTGCCATTGCTAATATATTCGCGACAATGCTGGTTTTTCGATAACCGCCGATAATTCATGGAAGTAACCTACCTGAGGACTTTATTACTTTGCAAACCTCTCGAAGAAGCTCCGTTCCATAGCTCTCAATCTCGATGTAATTTTTCTGATTTAATATTTTCAAACAGCAATCACTCATTTGAGGTACCATCACTTAACCGAATGAAATGCCGCAAGTACAATCGCTTCAAAAGAACAGGCCTTGACAGAACGTTGAAAAAAATACAACCACAACGTTGCTGAGATATTAGCAAAACTCTGGACCGCAGGTGTCTATGGTGGAGAACGAACGCGTTATTGTCCTTTCCGGGGAGTAACGCGTTCACCACCACACCATGCGGGTCCTTCGTTTCGCCTGTCTCTCAGTTATTTCTATCGATCATTTTGCCACAACAATCTCATTTTGCCACAACAATCACCCGTCAGCGGGGTTGATCTGGTGAGCGCAAATCGGCATAGAACCCAGTTAAGCTATGGCTGTAAAAAGATCGTTAGAAATAACTTGAGAGGCAGGCCAAACGAAGGACCCAGGACCCGCATGGTGTGGTGGTGAACGCGTTACTCCCCGGAAAGGACAATAACGCGTTCGTTCCCCACCATAGACACCTGCGGTCCAGAGTTTTGCTAATATCTCAGCAACGTTGTGGTTGTATTTCGCTTAGTAACCTGCCATGAAAATTATAGAAGGCGGAAAACAAAACGTTAAACGTTGAAAAAAAAAAGTTTAGTGGGCTCTCGAAAATCACTATTTCAGCATTTCGTGTTGATTCCCTGTCGACAATATTTTTGCCATAGAACATCGTCGTTGGAATGCACGGTAGCTGATCCCGTCAAAGCAGTCCGTTCTCCAGCAACTTTCGCGTTAGGTCGAGCAGTTTGATGAAAACTGTCTGCACCGAGTGGCAGAGGTCTTTTGGAGAACAGATGATGGCGAAGATTTTCAATGGAACTAACTATTACTATTTGTGGAAGTCATGACTCTCATCACATAAGGCCCATTATCTAAGTCACACCAGAAATAACCACATTAACAGAACATGTAAAATGTTGAGTAGGTGCCACGGTACAAAAAAAAGACAACGGTTCATGTGATCCGTTGGTTTCCTCGACTCGTGGGATAATTCTGTGTCGAGGCTACTCTGATGAATTTTCCGCAGGAAGAGATTACATTCAGAATCCGTTCTCCATTCCATTTGTGGCTCGTGGAATCAGAGAAGCGATCTATGAGTGTCAGGCGCAGTTCAGATTTGAAAGGTACATACCCAGCTTTCTTCGTGAATGTCACAGTGTCAAACGTTTCCGATAGCTTCGTTGTTAAGGTGGAATTGTTCCGATCGGCACGAGATCACTCCCACACCACACGGCAATTTTCAAGACATTTTCGGTAAAACCCTACGTTCATGTGAGTTTATCTTATTAGAATCTCTCTTTTGATAGCATTCCCGTATTAATTTCGATCCAAAATCCCTCATTCTGCTTGGATTCTATCTTGGAGTGAAATTCTTTAGATACTGCTTGATAAATTCTTCGAGATCAGTTGATAGTACTTAAGGCTGTCACATCTGGAAAGAATGGCATGTGTTTTCCCGTATTTGGATACAACATTTAAAGATTTCCTCCCAACGGTTTACCTCCTCATCGTGGCTGGGAGGTGTTCCTGGGTGTCGGACTGCGATGTCCAGCGGGGGATTCGTTCCCCGGCAGGGTCTCCCAAGCTGAGAAGGAGTTCGGCGTTTCCAGAAGCCTAGCTAAAAGTAAACCAATACCAAGATCCACCACCGTCTTGGTATCAAAGTCGCATATTGGTAAATCTTCCTCTGATCCACAAAGACTGCCACTACCAGTCGTGATGACGACCTGGGACAGACTTTGACCAGGCTGTCCTCGGGATTCCAAGGAATCACAATGGCTTAACCAGCAAATCTCCGAAAAATGGTGATTATGCTGGGACCCGCATAACTAGTGATGACGGGCCGTTCAAGTATCAAGTAAGCAAGTGTTTAAAGATTTAAGGAAGTTTGGTGTATGTTTGTTCTTTGGTCAGATGCTAACGAAGGAATCAGAGATGATCATTATTTAGAATAAAGAATGCTTAGAAATTCCGACCATTTTGCTTTCACTAGTTCAGCACAGTTATTTGAAGCAAATGTTCTGATTGTGATAGGATATTATTCTAACGAAGCGTTCCAGCAACGAAGGAAACTGCATTTCTGGCAGCCATCGCCAGTGCTGGCATCGTCCATGCGATCACGAAAGGATGCAACACGGGAAATCTAACGGACTGTGGATGCGATAGCAAACCGGCGCTACAGAAATACGTCGAAGGGGTATTTTTACGTCTCGGACTAAAAACATTTTGTCATCTGCTCGAGGTTTCTGTGGTTTTGTTGAACCATATTTTTGGACTAGTGATAAGTTCTAAAGAGCACTAATTAGTTAGATTTTGTGGACATGTAGGTAAAGCTTCTGGTTATTCTACAGATGCTTTAAGGAGCAGTCTGGTCTGATTGGTCGACATGAGCAGTTCTCGTGGGGCGGTTGTTCTGATAACGTTCCGTATGGACAAAAATACGCTAGACAGTGAGTACTGTTTTTTAAGCCATCGTCATTGAGAACATTCATTTAGAAAAACATTCTCCTCTAAAGATTTCTTGATGAATACGAGAAGCAACAATTCGAGAAGAACCGAAACGTCACTCATCTCGTGATGAAGCATAATTTTCTGGTGGGGCGTGAGGTAGGCGATCGATCTATCCTACCTGAAAATATCATTTCATCAGTCCAGGAAACTTGCTAAAACCACTTTATTTAAGTCCATAATCGACTGTGAAATAATAATATCTGAAAAAAACAAAGTAGGCAATGATTTGTTTGACAAAACTTTGTAAGCGTTTCAGTCTTTTGTTGTCCAGTCTTTTTTCTTTAAATGTACAGTATTGAATGAGAAACAACGATAAGCAGGAACTTCCTCTAAACTGCTCCTCTACGAGCGGAATAAAGGGTTGATGCGTGTTACCCAGCAGTTTCGATAGCGCTACAATACGCACGGAATTAGTGGTTCCAATCCTTCCCGAGAAAACTAGGCTTCCAATCGCCCGGAAGTCGGCAAATAAATACCAGTGTTTTCTGGTTGGATAGAAACTCTGCATTGTGTCGCGTCCTCAGCAAGCCGTTGTACAGGCCAAATACGCATTCGACAACATCTATACAAATGGAGACGAATGCAAGGACTATCACTGAGGAGCTTTGCGCTTCTTATCACTAACCGATCACTGAACTATTAGCAAGGTTTCGTATTTTGTCAGTTCATAGGAAACAAATGAACAATTCTTTAGTGCAATTTTTTGCCTCCGAATTTCCTCTCTTCTTAAGATTAGTGTCGCTTCCGTTGCAGTACTCAGATGCTACAAATTCAGAAGAACGGAGTCCAGCGATCATTCTGCAGTTTTTTGTAGTAGATCGAAAATTTTGAACTCGTCGTAACTCATAACTTCCAATTGAGCAGCAGTTTCAATAATCGTGTTTTCGAAGCTCGATATCAGTCCATTACTTTTGGAAAGTTTTTTGAAAAAGTCGATAAGGCGAAGCCTTTTGAAAAGGAACTTTTCAGGCGATTTCACAGAATATCCGACGACAGTGCAGATGTCATGGCGTGTCGGGTTCGTGTGAATTCAAGACGTGCTGGCTACAAATGCCGAAATTTAGTGAGGTGGCCCAGATGTTAAAGAAGCGATACGATCATTTCGCCGTTCAGGTTGAGATGGATGTAATCACGCACCTTTGCATTCTCATCTTTTAGACTTGATGAGGGCAACAATATCTTTTTTAAAGAAAAACAACGATTCGTACTAGCTATCTCGTTTTCTTTCCATAAATCCTTAATACACTCATAAATCACTTTCAATTTTTGTGTCATTCAAAGTGAAGCAATCTTTAATAAGTGCTGGGAAACACTTAGGTTTTCTCATCGTCTTAGGAGGTCTCCTGGTATGATGAATATTTTACCTACCTAGTCTTCACCTCTGTATCACGCCTTCCCATTTTCAGCTCTGGTCTCATATCAGGCTAACAGTGCAAAATTCGCACAGCTCCGAACGCAGCTCGCACTAAGTATCTTGTTGAGCGCTGTTATTAATTCTTGTTCTGACACAGCGCCAAAGATTCAGTGGTCCATGGCGGCGCAAATTTTTCCAAAGGCCAATTGACATGCAATCTACTCAGCCAAACACTTTCGTAACCTCATCAGGGAAAACTTAACACATAAACTTTTCATTCGCATAATAAACAGCTTGTTTTTAAAAACTCACCGTTTTGTTCTTTGTAAGTCTCACGGTTATTTGATGGAAGCCAGCCTCACAGGGTCTGTGGTAGCCTGAATTTTTTATTACAAGGCCTTCACGTAAAAGTCGATGCTATCGTGTTCCTCTTTATTTTCCTCGTTGAAGTAAGTAAGATGTCAGGTTACTCTGCATTCGTAAATGAGTTTTTGTTTTCTCCTTATTCCACTTTATTTGGCCGGTTGGTCTAGCGGTATGGTTCTCGCTTTGGATGCGAGAGGTCCTGGGTTCCAATCCCGGTTCGGCCTAGATTTTGCGTAGAGCTCATTCGCCTAGAGTTGTTTAGCGAACAGAAACCATTTATTACCTTATTTTTATCATTATATAGATCTAACACTCACCAACTGTACAATTGGGCCACATACTACCACATCGTGCCGCCCTGACACATGCTACCATGCTAGGAGATTCTTGTGAACCAACTTTCGTAGATGAGATCGTTCACCCTAACAATATTATGGAGTCATAACTACACTATACTTTATGATATGAAAAAACTCACACCTACACAACTAAAGCGGGTTCCCGAAGATATTTGCTGGATACCCAGTCCTATTTCAGATATTCTGTGATGGCATGTTACCGTATAGCCATTGTCACTAGGTGATATGCTGGTCAACAACACTCTACTGCTACTTGGATGTGCAACTATGACGTATATTCTGTATTGTATTATATCTGTGAACACTTTTATGTTATCTTCCGCTTGATCTACACGTTGATTGATTGACCTGTAATGAAAAACTGGAGACCAACACAGACGTGACAGTCAATCGCCCTTTATTATTCATCAGCTCGAATACCAAATATGTTGTGTGTTCCACGACCACAGTTTGTTATTTCACAACTTTGATTTTGCGCTGCCTTGTGGTCCCGATGGACCTCACATCTCTTAAGGAAAATGTGGTGCATAGTTAAGATATCTTAGGAAGATCTCGGCTTAAACATTTCTACCCACGACTTCGCATGTTGTTTAGCTTGACAAATTTAAAACATTATGGAAAACCTCGCCCTGTCCACCACAGATGACTGAATTTTAAGGTTAGTCCTAATAGAGCTTTGTAAATGTTGAGTGGATTGCGCAGCATACCTCACTCTGGTGGTTTGCCGGACTTCTTCTCGTTGTGACTTTCGCATTGTTTGTTTGAGACCATGTCAAAACTGGAATGAGGTGAAACACGTGGGTAATTTCAATGTTTATAAGAGGCCTCAAGGAACGTCTTAGTAGTGCGCAGTTTGTCAATTTTTTTTTTCTGAATCACTGTGCTTACTGTATACGATATGTTTAGAGGCGTTTTCTTGAAAGAATAAAGTAAAGCATTCTTCTGAACCAAAAGAGGTTAAAATCAGAAAATTAATTCATTCAGACGAGCACTGCACGATTTTGAAAGAGCTTACAGAATGTTCGATGAATTTTCAGGTAACGAAACGAGCTCGTAAGAGGTTGCGCCGAAAGGAGCGGAGCGAACGTCAAAACCCGATTCGCGGAAACGAAATGGTTTATGTGATTCGGTCGCCGAGTTATTGCGAACGTAACGATTCCGCCGGTACGTAATAAGGCGATAGTGAATATAGTTGTGGAAAGATCTTGTATCGGGATCGGTGAATGAAAGCACAGCAACTTCCTTCTTTGCCTTATTCTCGCCAATTTATTATACTGCACTACTGGAGAAAAAGAATGTGAAGGAATACGATCGAGAAACTTCTAAATATTTTGGTGAAAACTGCTCTATATTCCCATATTTCATCACAAATATATCATTTCCACTCATTTTCCAGTTCAACACTTTCAGTAAAATATTCTATCTTACAAAGGATCTTTGCCCAATTGGCCGTAGGTGTTTAGTTTCGGTGCTATGTAATATCGCCAGATGGTTCATAGAGTTCCAGCAATTCACTCACAAACATGTGATCACCATGCAACGCTTGCGGATCTGGGGACGAAGCCTCTAACTTTACTGGGTTCATTTCGTTCAGGATGAGAGTATGGTGCAGGGAAACGTTTACAAAGACGACTACAGGAACTACCGTAACTTCTTTTCTCTCCTCAGTATAACCCGACATCACATATTTTGCAGATCTAGCATTCCTTTCATTCGATTGGTTCTCTCTCCCGCATCATTCACAAAGTCTTCAAAATTTCTTGCATTTTCGGGTGCTACTTGGGTATTTCGTCTTCATTATGAATACCGCTGAATGATTGTCAAATCAATCTCTAGAATCGTGAGATATCTTTGCTAGGGCATTTCTTGGTTTTGTGATTTGGATTGGACTTTCCAGACAAGTCCCTATAAATTTCCGCCACATGGGGAATAGTAGGCTGGCTTAGACTGCCCTGATATTGAGCCAAAGGCTTGCATATATTAAATGCCATAGTTAAACCGCTAAAATTATGAAGGACTGCAAAGGTTACTTGTATCATCACCCTCACTTCCAATAACGCACCTATTGTGGACGTCAGTTACATAAAATACTAAGTGGAATCTAGTTGGTTGATCAGGTCACAAAATTCAATTTTACGAACTTTCCCATGAGCTTAACCCTCCCCGGTAAGGACAATGGCGCACGTTCGTTCCCCACCGCATACACCTGGAGTTTTGCAAATATCTCAGCATTATATACGAGTTATATTTTCCATGAACGTTGCTAATTCGCGGCGCGCATGAAGCTTTCCGTTACGGACATGTCTTCCCTCTTTCAAGAATGCGCATGGTGTGGAATTTCTCTTAGAATTCGTCATCTTGAATTAACTGAGATTTGTTTAACTGCCTTGATATTCGTTGAAGAACTTTCTTTTTTCTTTAGAGTTTATTGAGCATATGCGTCAGGGAAAGTGGACTGTTGCTATAAGTATCCCTTTAGGCACCCATCTGTAGCAGTAATATATTAGATCGGTTGTTCTATTAACCTAGATCTCTGCCACTTTCCATGCCTTTGACTGGAACTCGAAACTCAAAGGTGAAAACCTGAGATAGCTTTACTGCATTGGATATGTTTGGGCTTGACGAGTGGTGGGGCAAAACGGATTCGAAGAGAGTCTCACTGTTGCTATTTGCAACTCATAGGACGTGTTGAGATGCCTTTGGAGTTCATCAAGACTCGCAACTGAATAAAGTAAGCTATGAAATAATGTCATATTGACTCCTTTCATCGTGGTTTCCAGTCTCTGTCACTCCATAATTATTTACCATCAAAAACTATGCTAGTCTTTCCACCTGCAACGGTTTACCGTAAGATCTGCATTGTATAATCACCAAACCACGAATTTATCTTATCGAGAAACCCTTTGATAATGTCACAGATGTAGTCAGAACTTATAGTGAAGAAGTGGCGCGTAATCGGTATTGTTTTGCAATCCCGTGACAAAAAATTCGTAGTATGTTCACAGAGGGGAAAGATTTAATCTCGAATGTTGTCGCCATAAACGACTTGCCATTTTTTCTCTCAGTGATGGCAGTAAATCTTTTTCTGCTTGTGGATGAATCGATTCTTCGCACAAAAGAACTCTTGCAAGAATTACTCCAAAGCACATCGAAAAATCTGATGTGGCTCGGAGCAAGAACTGCATCACATTCGATGTCTTATCTGGACTATTCCATAGTTTAGGTGTACAACACAAAGCTGGTTCTGGGCTGGTTATTCACCTCTTTTCTGGAATGACTTGAATAGCATTCTCAGCTTGCACTGAAATCGTCGTATGACCTATCTGATTAGGACGTTGCCACCTTTGTATATGAAAATACGTGAGACTAATAAATGCTCAGCGGGAATGTCAAATTCTTTCACTCCCAGATGTCCACTCCACGAGAATATCAGCTCGAGTGTTTTTGGAGACAAACATCTCTTGGTGACCTTCGAACCCTCAGCTTTCACAGCGCTAACGTGAAGATGTTGAATGAGCCGATCGTATTTCTCGTTGATCTTACCGAGAACGGCATCTTCCAGCCGCCCACTTGTATCACCTGCATCACCTGGAGTCCCGTTGATCGCCAAGTGGCTCGCGCGGGAGCTGGTAAATTTTCTATTTTTCCCTGTCGCGTGCAAAACTAGCCAATTGGGTTCTGTTCGCTCTATAGACCACTTGAGCATCATATCTTTCTTCTAGCGTTTTAGTGAAGAACTCTGACCATCTGGTGGCGGTTTTCCTGCAGTTTTTTTTGACACCCCGAGGAATCCAGTCACTAACGGCTCTTATCCATCGGTTGTCATTCATAAACATCACCTGTCCGGCTCAATTTATCTTCGATAGTTTAGCATATAGAACGGCATCTTTGGTTTTTGATCGTTGGTGTCCATCGGAGCTTCGGATCCCATCCCTCACTCGGGTGATACTTGTAGCACTGTCATTTCGTCTGCGCGTTCAATAACGATGAGTGGCCTTTTATTCTGTTTACGTGGCTACCAGGTTTCTGACGCATACGTTAACGCAGGAAGTACCGTTGAGTCGAATAGAGGGCACGGAGTCCGATGGGGGAGTTCTTTGTGCTGTTCACTACATCCTCGACGCTCTTGAGAGCCCTCAAGTCGCTCGTTTCCTTCTGCTCAACTCTGGATCTAAATCGTTTATCATGTTGATTTTTCGAACTAGATAGACGAAGCTGGAGCGTGCAGAGATATTCATTCCGTTGAGCGTGAATAGAGGATAGGTAACCAATCCGTCCTCATCAACATCGATTTTGGGAGACTTAGTCGAAGAGTAATCTTTCCACAGGTGTTATCAAAGTCAGTTCGTTCGCATGTGTTACGCCTGGGTAACCTTTGGTGTTATAAGAACGATATCATCACAAATACGAACGCGCTGTGATTGCCGGCCATCGATTTGCACTCCCATGTCGTCCCATTTCAGTGTTCCAGTGACGTCATCAACGGTGACGGAAAGAGCTTGGCAAGATGGCATCGCTTTGCCTAACCTCTCTTTTGACGTCGGTGTTAATATCGTTGTAGAATGGTTATATTTTCTTCCTAAAATTTTTAAACAGCTCACATAGAATCTTTATATACTGAGTGAGGACTCCTTGACTATCATGGGCTTCCATGACTGCTTCTATCTCAACTGAGTCAAATGTTTTCTTTAAATCGATGAAAGTGAGTCAGAGCGGTGTTTTGTACTCTCGCGATACTTCAGTAAGTCTTGCTATCGTGTGGATGTGGTCCATTGTACTAAAGCCTTTTCGAAACCCTGCTTGCTCACATGGCTGTCCATTGTCCAGTGTTCTGGCAATTCTGCTAAGGATGACTCGAGCGAAAAGTTTTTAGACGACAAATAGCAAGGAGATTAGATAAAAGTTACAGATATCTTGTAGGTCACCTTTCTTAAACAATACCACGGTCTTTATGACCTTCCACTGAGAAGGAACATTGCATTCTGACAGATAGCGTGTGAAGAGCTGAGCCAGGGTTTTTGTGAGGACTACTGGAAGGTTCTTCAGATGTCCAGATTTTATCCTCTTTATACCTGGTGTTTTTCGATTCTCCACCGACGAAATAATATATCGGATCTCGAAAGGAGGAATCAGTGGTACGACATATCCATCCTTCTTTATTTCATATGAGAGTACGAGAACGTTGCTATTGAAGAGGTCTGAGTAGTATTCGTGAATGATTTTCTCCATTGGCTTTCAGGAGGCTGTAACTACTCCGTCTGGGCGTCAGAGTGCAATCATCTTGATCGTGGAAGTGTTTCTCCCGGCCTTTGCAGCTTAGGCCATAACTGTTGCTTTTCTCTCTTTAAGATCTTCTTTTATCGCTTGTCTGCATTGCTTTGCAAATTTGGATGTGATCTGCTGCTTACCTACAGCTGGTGCGATTCCACGCTGGCGTTTCAACTCGAGTGTTTCTGGAGACAAACGTCTCTTGGTGACTTTCGAACTACCAGCTTTCATAACGCTAACGTGAGGATATCGAATGAGCCTATCGTATTCCTCATCTATGTTATACACAACGCTATCCTCCCAACAGCTTACTAATGAATTGAATAACTCCCTGTTTATGGTTGTTTTGGGGCTTCGTTTTTTTGAATTCAGCGGTTTTTTCTCCTTTCTGCGAAAAACGAAATCTTGCACGAAGGAAGCGATGGTCTGATCCGTTGTGGAATTTTGGGGCAATGCAACATCAGTAAGGCAGAACCTTCGATTTACTATGATGCGGTCTGTTTCGTTAAGATACTCTCCATTAGGAGACTCCCACGTCCAACGTTGAATCTGGGGCTTCTGGGATTGCGAGTCACCATGGCCTTGGTCGTCATGATAAACTCAGACAGCCGCTCACCCTGCTCGCTCAGTTCCAATTCGTGGTTTCCAATGTGACGTTCTTCAGACGTTCCTCTTGGTCCAATCTTAGCGTTAAAATCTCCAATGATGACCTCGAAGAATGTATGGTCCTCTCTGTAGAACTTTTCCATGCCCATATAAAACGCTTCGACTTCTTCGTCATAGTTTGATGCCGGCGCGTAAATGACGAAGATTGTCAAACGCGGTAGTTATCCACATCTTTTTAATCGTAAACGCCCGACTTAGGTTGTTAGTTGTTTGAATGAATCGATGTTCATAGCCAAACTCGTGTTGGCGAGAACGCCGACGCCCTCGACTCCCCGTAGCATTTTCCGAGAGTCCGGTTTGACACACACCGTTGAGTGGGTGGCGTCTTCATGTCTCACCAGTTTTAAAACGTCTACCTTATCCTTTTTGCCGGCGTGATGAAGTCTTCTGTCGAAGACACAGATGCAAGTGTGAGTGCATTGTAGGTACAGATCGTCACCTAAGTCCCTTGCCTTTTAGGCAGCCTAGAATAGCCAGGAGATTTTAGCAGCCTCTCCGTACTTCTTGTACCCATGCTGCTGTATCCGGAGCTGTTTCAGGATCAGGGAAATGAGACCTGTTTATTTTACTGTGTTCAGCTCTCTCATACCCATATATAGCTCGTTGAGCTCTGAAGGTGTGGGGAGAGGTATAGCCACGGATAACTTTCCTGTTTCTCCCAGAATAGACGGGTAACCTATTTGTTAAAGGCGAGTGCTGACCGCCTCCCATATATTTGCCTGTTACTTGAATATTTTTGTTCGAATTGACACCTGGAATACAATTCGCATAAACGAGAACACATTCACACACGTATACATGGATACGTTCTCGCAAATGCAGAAAGTATGCTTCAAATCTGCGCAGCAGAAACAGTCCATTCCCTGGATTCACCTGCGTCTCAGGGAAGGAGATGTCGCCTGTGGTTCATAATTAAACCCCGATCCCCCATCTGTGGATACCCCACCTTGCCTTGTGACTTGTGAACCGGCATGAAGTCTCTATGAGTGAGATCCGTTGTCTAATTGCTCTAGTGAATAACAATTATCGTACAGAGTGTGCTGGTGTGAAAAATACCGAAATAGAGGCCCATAAGTTGCAAAACACTTTCAAGTGCTTACGGTAATGTGCTTGTATGATGGACCATAGCAACATGGAGCAAATAGCACCAGGAATATTAATCGTACCCTTAGCGCTATTGACCAAAATCTTTTTTACAACACATTCATGTTTACAACCCTAATTCCTCTAATTCCTATACTTGTCAGAAAATTCTTATTTTTTTAAAAAAAAAACTAGCAAGTTCAAAAAACGAAAAGATTAGCCGTTCTCGTGAGAGTGTTAAAACCTTCTGATACCGAAAAATTCTGTGAGGGCGTTACTGTTGCGGTGTTTCGAGTTGTTTGCATTTAGGTATCCTCGGTACGAGTGGTCGTGAATGCAAGCACTCATCGTACAATTCAGACAGCTGTGATCTGCTGTGTTGTGGGCGGGGCTACAACACGCGATTGGAGCGTCGTATGACGCAATGTCACTGCAAATTCGTGTGGTGTTGTCAAGTGAACTGTAAGGAATGTATTGAAGACGTGCAGGTGCACACCTGCAAATGACCGCATACGGTGGAATGATCATTCACGAAGGTGCTACAATGACGATTCTCGGTGATAACCCAATGCCCAACACACACACGTACACATACACGTGTACACAGACATATATACATACACATGTACACATAACATACATACATAACATACGGACCTACACATGCACATACACATACACATACAAATACACATACAAACACATACCCCACACACAACATACAATGAATTTGCACAGATTCGTTACTAAGAAAGAATATAGTACTTACTGTAACTGTAATTAGGCGTGAAGAAAATGCATTGGGTATGTTAACTGCACATCGTGTACTAAACCATTTAATGAGATACTAAGACTGACCTCAACTATTTAATTGGCATGATTATTTTACACTGTAGAAAATCGTCGGTGTTTAGCACTTTGTTTACAGTAGATTCCCGGCTATAACTATGATCAATAAGCTTTCTCGAGTGGAATGTGCCTTTTGGGCCGGTAGACTTTCTAAGATTTGTCCTCAGTTGCTGCTATCATTGGCACTCAGAATGTGTTGTACTAAACGTTGCACTTCCTTTAAATAACTAATTCATCCTATCAATGCATTGTTGTACTTCCTCGCAAACGCTTATCCCATTATCCCATCCAGCAACCAGTCTACGGCTTTATCGACTCCTTACAGTACTTGCTCACATTTACTGGAGCAACACAGGTCAGCTACCCCTCAATTTTTCTCTTTTTGTCGCTTCGCACGTCTCTTACTTCGGCTATCTCCTCTGAAAATTTAGCACTGATCATCTGCATGTACTGTATAACACTTATATGGGCTTGCTTCTAAGCAACTAAACTTCGACTGTATAATCGTTTTACCTTCTTTTAAGTTTGATGTGGCTTCTTTCAAACAGAAAACAGATTGCTCGAAATCTCACCGACTAGGGAAAATCGTCTATTGTTGGCGTATTGATGTGATTTATGAATATTATGCATTAAATTCGCAAGGACCAGCTTGTGTTACATTTTTATAAACTGCAAATAGTATATTACTGAAGGTTTTCTGCGGTAGCATACAGATTCATCAACGCATGAAAATCTCGCAGAATATGGTAGCTACAGTACTATATTATTCATCGTTGTTTCATTAAATCAGTGTATCGTACCGTACGTTGCTGCTTATTTGACCAGTTATCAAAGATGTAACTGGAGTTTGTGCATTAAGAAGAAGCTCTTATACGGCCGTTGGTAAAGAGAGTCGTTGCTGGATCGGAATGTGTCGCTCATGTTCTCCGCCCAGTTTTGTCAGAATGTTGATTGACCCATTTGTTGAATGAGTAGTGACCAAATGTATTTATTAGTAGCGTAAATAAAATCTTCCATCCCGTATTTTTTTCCGATTTTGCTCTTGGATTTTGTTTCGGCACTCTGGATTTTTCCTAAATGGAGTAATAGAGTGACACAAAGATCGACTTCTAAATAGGTCCGGCAATAATAACAAATGCTTCTTATTTTACCACATTTTGTCAGTAAAGGGTTGGATCATCCGGAGAACTCTTCTGTTTCTAACTTAAGCTTTTCTCTACAGTGTTCACTGTTGCTAAGTATTTAGAGTTAGAAGCTGACTTCTCGACGGTTTCACAGCTGGCGGAGTACTTGACTTGAGAACTTGAAAAGCTTCTAGGAGGAACTTTAGTCTATTGCTGTACCGAAGGTAGGATGTGGCTTCTCAAAAGTGTTTTCTTTTACCTAAATGTTGTTTAAAATAGAATTTTCCAAAAAAAACCAGATCCATGCTGGGCTACCGCAGACTCCAACGTCACTTTTGTTAGATAAGTTCGCTGTTTGAAATACCAGCACTGGCGGAAAAGTGGCAAACTATAAGATTCATGGTACAGTAACATTAGGATTTCTTCATATTGGAGTGAGAGTGCTTATATATGTTTTTTCAAAAACCTTTAGATTCCAATGGTTTTTATTTCAGTTGGAGAAATTCACTATGAGCTTAGAAATGCTCATTTACAGGCACAACTATTTTCGTCTTGTTATGAGTGGAACTCAATTCATATTGGACTGCAAGCGTGAAATTTTAGGCAGTTCCTTTTATTCTATGAAATAAACATACCGGAAACAGAATTTTAACAATGTTACTTGGATATCTGGATACGTGAATGGCCAATTTTCACGAGTAGTGCGAGTCCCACCACATTTACCATTTCCACCTTTCTTTAACAGTCGTCGTCCATGGCACCGGCTTCGAGCACAGTGAGATTCGCGAAATAAATTCCGTGGTATGTAAAACACTACTAACTGCTAACAAACGTAACGTCATGACGTTCCAACTGACGTATTTCCAACTCTTTGGTACTCAGGTGAGTCATATATGGCTCATGAGCTTCCTGGCAACCTGGCCGATGTGAGCCACACATAACGCATTCTCTTTGGAGCCATTCATTTTCTGGCACGAAGGTTTTTCCTGTACTTTTTGTAATCATTTGACAGCTTAGATTTTATAGCGAAAATCATATAGGAAAAGCCCTATTGTGCTAAAAATTCACATACAATTCTCCTACAAGTTTATATACATATAGATGTACCATACGATGTATAGGTGAGACGACCGGTGAGAGGCCAGAAAATCTCGGGTTACGCAGGACGTCATTGGAACCGGATCTAATGAACACACGCACGACCACCATGGAGATTGTTTCTTACTATGCACGTATAATGCCAGAACACTCCACAGACGCCGATCTTCACGCCCTTCTAGTAGCCGCAGATCGCATTAAATTTTATGTGATCGCATTACAAGAAACAAAAATCGAGTAGACCGACATACGCCAGCCAAACAACGGGACTCTTGTGATCCGTGGAAAAAAGGTCCCGTCACGAAATGTCGGTGGCGTAGGCTTTGTCGTCCACCCGTCCATTGTCCGTCTCATCAACTCATGCATGATCCTTTACCCTCGCATAGCCGTCCTCCGCCTTCAACTGTCGTATCATAAGAAGATCACTATCATCAACTGCTAATCACCGACCGACGCAGCTGATGAATATGAATTAAATGCGTTCTACCATCAGTTGGAGGAAGTCATCCGCAATGATAAAGCATATCATAAATTTGTTGTTGGAGATTTCAACGCCAGAATAGGAAAGGTCAACGAGAGCGAATACAGAATCGGAAATTTTGGATTAGGAGAAAGAAATGAGAATGGGGACCGTCTCGCAGGACTCCTGTCAGCAGCACGTCTCCTTCATGGGAACTCGTTTTTCTAAGCCCTAACCTTTGTCGACTATGAGAAAGCGTTTGACAGTGTCGAAACGAATACAATCCTACCAGCGCTCGTCGACCAAGGAGTGGAGCCGTCCTACATAAGGACTCTGTCCGACTGCTATCGGAACTGCAATGCGAAAATGCAGCTTTTCCATCGACCTCTTACAATACCCATAGGGAAAGGGATTTGACAGGGCGACACAATATCGCCAAAGCTGTTCAGTGCCGCACTGCAGTGGATAATGAATTTACTCGATTGGGATCAGAAAGGTATACGTATTGATGGAAAATCCCTACCAAACCTTCGTTTTGCCGACGACATTGTCACCTTCTCAAGAACTCGAAGCAGAAGTGATGATCAACGAGCTCAACGAAGCGGGGAAAAAGATCGGACTTCGCATAAATCGAAAGAAGGCCCAGTTCATGAAAAACCCATTGTGCGAATGCGAAAAAATTGAATTGGATGGCTCTCTCATTGCAGAGACCACCTCGTACGTTTACCTTGGGCGATCAATGAACACGGAAAACAACATGAAGGGGGAACTAGATAGAAGAAGGAGAGCAGCTTAGGCCGCATTCGGGCCTCTCAAGGAAGCCATCGACCAATTGAAGGACCCGAAAATCATCGCTCATCTCTTCGATTCTACGGTCCTCCCAGCGCTCTGTTATGCTGAAGAGACGTGGATTGATACTTCAACTACGTCAAGAATGCTTCGAAATACTCACAGAGCGCTTGAGCGATGTCTTCTGAGATATAACCGGCATTCTCAATATGTAGCCGGAATGCGAAGCTCTGACCCTCGAAATCTGTCGCATCTTCAAGATCCAGGAGAATATATATCGACATCGAAACATAGATGGGCCAGTCACATAATGAGAAGAACAGACAACGTATGGACGAAAAGAACAATAGAGTGGATTCCAAGAGAATGCAAACGTCGCCTTGGACGAGCACCTACACGTTGAGCGGACGTGTTCGTAAACAAAATTAGTCAGCTGTACCCGCAGCTTCAGTTGTTTTACAGATCACGGTATGAGACTCGCAAGCGCTGCCATGCTCGAACAAGACCACCACTATGGACTACTATTGCGAGAGAAAGGAACGAATGGCATATGTGCTGAGGTCCGCACAGCTCGTGAAGACGGACCGTGCAAGTATCCAAATATATATATATATACTTGTATATATATACACATATGTGTATATCTACATATATATATATATATGAAGTAGACCTTCCATATCTGAAAAAAAAACTTTTTCAGCCACTGGCAACGATGTTGCTGGTAATTGGTCGGGTTTTTTTTCATCACAGGTAAGTGTTAGTATGTTTCAAAAGGATAAGGAAAGGAAAGACATAAATGAACATAAGGTACACAAAAATATGAAAAATACCAATATTTTGCCAGGAAGAACTGAAAAAGTCAATTCGAGAGCAAAAAGTACAACAAAAAAATTGAATGGCTGTTTGCTGGTCGGCGAGAGCACGTTGACCGATGCGAGTCACATGTCTCACCGCAAGAAAGTCCAGTGCTCCTACCACGCAAAACTGGGCTTCGGCACCGGTGGATTAGAAAGCGAGAATGAATGCCATACGAGTTGTAAAATTAAGACAGCATAGTTTTCGATGACACGGTTCCATAATACTTTGTGAAATTCCACTTCAGTGATTGAATTCTCAAAGACGACCTACCGTCTGAGCGCACTACGTCTAAATGAAGATCAGATAAAAAGTCTTCCGCGCACTGAAGACTCACGACAATATTAAAGTTAGTGGAATGCACTACTTCAACAACCATGATCGCCTTGGCGGCTGCTTGACGCAGAGGAACTCATTCGCTTGCGTGTTAGCCTAAGGTTTTTCACTCAGCTAAGACGAAGAAATGCACTTTCAAAATGAATTGTCGATGGAGAAAAATGGATCTCCTTACAACAGTTTTGCGAGCAAACGGTTAAACGGTACAGTGAAGTTGAACCATTTACAAGGCGTGCCCCCTATATGAAGGCCATATGACAGGTAGTGGTGGTTGAACATAACTTGGTGCAACAAACACGATAATAGATTCCGAGAAATACTTAATAATTGACGATTCAATGAACCATCTTGATGAAGAATGGTGAAAATCGTAACAAATTTAAATTTGGACGCTGTGATGCCACTAAAGAACGTTTTTCTTGTGGTCGCGAGAGAGCAGTGCCCTTGCCTTCCTAGTCCTTAGGGGGACACCGCTCTTAATGGATATGAGACTCGTTACATTATGACTAGAATTTTTTGAATTTTTCCTACAAGTTCGCTGTTATCTAGGCTTCGGCATGGAAAAGTTGGGCCCCATAGGTTCAATGATCTTCGAAGGAAAAAAATCTTCTTTTTTTGCAGCCTAGAAAACACCCAGGAACATCAACCTCTCGTGCATTAAGTCATCTTCTACGATGTTTGATGAAGTCGAAAGGCTGGCTCATCCTTCAGAGGCAGATAAAGGCCGAACACTTTGACTTTCATAACCTGAGTATTTTGGCCCATCCGACCATACTTCTACGAAATTCCACCTCCGAAAATTTTCTCATTTAGACTGCAAAATCCACTGAAACATGTGCTTTTCTTCATGTTTTTAGATTTCATCGCTGGCGAAATCTAAAGGTTACAACTACGGAAGGGTCTTCAAAACATCATCGAGCAGAATTCCATACAATTATTTGATGTGTTTCTGTAGCTTTTACGCACTGTTATCTCTTCAATGCTTTTAAAACACCAAATAAACTGAAATAACTTATACCTTTTTATTTTCTGCCTATTATAACTTCGCGGCAGGGTACTAAGCGAAATACGACCACAACGTTGCTGAGATATTTGCAAAACTCTGGACCGCAGGTGTCTATGGTGTGGAACGAACGCGCTATTGTCCTTTCCGGGGAGTAACGCGTTCACCACCACACCATGCGGGTCCTTCGTTTCGCCTGTCTCTCAGCTATTTCTATCGGTCTTTGCCACAGCAATCACCCGTCAGCGGAGGTCCAGAGTTTTGCAAATACCTCAGCAACGTTGTGGTTGAAATAACTTAGTTGAGAGAAAGGCAAAGCATGAGCCTCAGTGGCGCATTGTGTAACACGCGAGCCCCAGGAAGGAGTAATCGTGGTTCGATCTGGTCTTGGTTTCCAAGTTTTACGAATATCTCAGCATCATTTTGGTTGTATTTCACATCATACTCTGCCGTAAAAAATTAAAGAAGGCAGGCGTTTCCTTTCCAGTGGTTTATTTGACTAAACAGAGTTCTTTACCACAAATTTTGCGCTTGATTGATAGTTGTCCAAATACTTACTCCGTGACAAGTTCTCCTCTGTGTTTTAAACTTTTTCGGACAGGTTCATGAGGGCATTATTTGACTTGTGATTCCCACGACCGACTTTCTATTAACCTCGGCATTGATCAAGTAATTCTTCGTATTTTTGTTGAGCAAACGCGAGGTGTAATTATTCTTTATTCACGAATAAGTTGACGTTTCGACGGATTTCGTCTTCCTCAGAGCCTGGAAAGGTCAAGTTGATAGCAATCTACTAGGCCAGACGCCTCCATAACCAAACAAAGAAAGGAACTCCAAACCAAGATTTCAATCACATTTAGCATAGCTCTGCACACTCACCGCTTTCTATGAGTCTTCCACTGAGTATGTTGCGTGAAGACCAACCGCACAGAAATCACGTGGAAGCGTAATGTGCCCCTCCCATCAGAGTAACGGTCTCACACACGAATCAAGAACACAAGCGCGCAAAACTCTCGAGGCATTCTGGATTAATTCCAGAAATCCGAAAATGAACCGCAGGGAAGAATGCCTCATTATTACGCGTGATATAGGGCAGTATATAAGACTGTTATTATAAAGAATAATACCTCGCGTTTGCTCAACAAAAACACGAAGAATGACTTGTGATTGTTATTTCAATTCTAATCACTATAATTAAACAACGAATGAGGAGGTATAAAAAAGATATTCAACTCAAAATAAGTTGCAAAACACTTCCAGTGATAATGAGGTCGTATAGTAGACCATACTAACATATAGTAAATACCAGCATGAATATCAAGTGGAGCCCTAGAGCAATAGAACAGTCTCTTTCATTGCTGCTGCTCTGTCCTGAACACAGAAGTCCTCCAGTTATCGGAAAAATATTGTCCCTTGCCTAAGATCCAGCAAGCTAGTAACCCGCATGAAAATAGGTGCCGTCCCAACCACGTGTTGGCTTCAGGCTTCATGTATTAACAAACTATGAAGTAGTAGAGGCGAAGTGGTACGGTTCAACGACTTTGTGTCCGAACATTGTAAGACGGTGCTGATAATTTTACACATATTCTCCTTAGCTCATGCTCGTTGCTATTTAAATTTTTTAGACTAATGATCTGACAAATGAATGTTTCTATTGTTTAGCTTTAAAATGCTTTAGTACCAAAGCTGTCTTTATCAGCAATCGCGAGGTTGTTATACAGCATACATTTACTTCTATAGAAAAACACAACACAATACAACAGTAGCCGACGTTTCGGCAGGGCAGTATCGCCTTCTTCAGAGCCGCTTTTTACGTGACTTCCAATGAGGAAGATTAGAATAGCTGTTCTACGGAAATAAATGTATGCTGTTTAACAACGTTGCGATTACTGAACAAGAAAAGCACGCATTCATATTCCAATGTCGAAGTTAACAGAAAATCGATCCTGGGAGCTGTCTTTATCTTCCGCAAAATACTGATAAAATGTTTTCCATGGAAATCAACGATCGCCTCTCAATGCACGGGCAACGGCTTTACTACTCCGAAGAGCTAGTATTCCGATTTGTGTGCGCGAATTTATCCCAAGAATTGGGTATCTGTGCGTGAAAGCACAGCCAGGAATTACTCATGTCATTAAATTCATACAAGAATAGGTAGGTATTAAACTCTGCAATAATTAACTTTTTAGCCCACTGCTGTTCCCCTGTTGTCAGTATCCTCCTAGGAGCTGCTAACCACATTAGAGTGCAGGTGACCTCTTTAAGCGGAAGCGATAACTAGGTGACCGACATACGCTTAATGACGGGACACTGTTATGACCAGAGGGAACAGTTCGCCGAGAGAGTGAATCTCACTACTCTTAATCAGTTGCATAGGTGAGTAAATAGCAGTTGACCATACTCATCAGTTTTTAAGCGTAGGCTGGAAATGAGGCATCGTTAAACGAGTTGACATAGGCTGCGAATATATGTGCAACAAGGCTGAGTTACTGACGTTAGAGTTCTGCAGTGAAGTAGTAAAGAATTTCTTACTCGTGAAAGGCATTTTGAATTCTCATGCAGAAGACGTGAGATGGGGTTGTGAAAAAAGTTGCCTTTCCCTAGTCTCTTGATTGTAGATTTATGGTCAAAACGACGTGAAAGATATAATCTACATACCTGTAACCGCTCACACTCAGTTTTGCGTGAACTGTGACGTGCCTGCAGGAGATAAATTAGCGCGTTTCAATGGAGGGGCGAAACCCATTCTCCTAATTCACCTATGTCTTTTAGTAAGTGGAAGGTCACCTTTGATCCATGTTTATCATCCACGTGATCAAATGCAACTTACGCCGCGAATAACCCCGATCCCATACATAAGGAAGATTTATGGTGAAAATCGTTACTTTCCTTTATTGCCTGTGTTCGTTAACGTCATAAATCTTAGCAATTTTACCTGGCTTACTTGCCAATTAACAGTATTTACTTTGATGTTATCTGTACATAATTAGAATTCACAAGCAAGTGTTTTGATTGAATGTCCCTGTGAATCCGTTAGCGACAGCACGGCGAGTTCCTTAGTCTTCTCAAGAAACAGCTTCCTTCCATCGGGACAACTTAGTGCATAAGCAACATCCTGTAAAGCAGATTGTCATTGCTATGACATCGTTAGCAGTGAAAACTGTAGTAATTGTTAACGCCCACAATATGTTTCAAGAAGTGCATTTCATCTGAGCCGTTAATAATCTCCTTCCAAATCGATCGTACGAATCGCATTAGGCAAGAGTTTTCAAAAGATTTAGAAGTAGCGCAAATTTTTAAGCGCGCCTGTTCTGGATACTACGCTGGTAGTACTGCTCGACTTCTGTTGTTTTTCGTCAGATCCGTCAAAACAAGGACACGAGAAATTTTTGGCAGTTTCAATCTATCTTACTCCTCTATAGGCAGTTTTCTGTGCGATTCTAGGCTTAGCACGTGTTAACACAATCTCATATTCTGGCACGCACAATATTCCTTGCCGTTTTATCCTAAAAAGTACCGCAATTCTAGAATTTAGTTGCAAATGACATCCTTTAAGGACTGAAACATTCATAAACTCAGGCAAAGTGAAAAGTCATACCATAAAAAAAATAGGCATCTTATCCCCTTATGTATTAGAGGGTGCCTGTAGCACTGCAGTGGTCGGATGCGCCCTGCAATACACTTGGGATCGATCCCCACAAGCTCCCCAACTCTTCTATCTATCCAGAGTCGGCAAATTGGTACCGAAATTGTCTGAAAGGATACAAGCACTGGCTCGATACATCGGTAGATCACCGCGAGTCATTGCAAAAGCCAGATGTGCATTCAGTCACCTCCAACAATGCGTAATGAAGTCGAATGCATCGCGCACCCCTCAGGTATTGATCAACGCCGAGAGGTTTATCCTTTTATGCCCTATCCCAGCTTTATTTTTTCCTGTGTTTAATTTAATTGTCAAATTTAAAGCAGATATTGCGATTTTCCCGTTAAGTGAATTGAACTATTGATATCAGTCTTATTCGCTTACCCCATTCTTCTTTTTCTGAACCACCAACTTGCCACCACTACGAAGATGATGAATCATTTTCACATCACCCGGATTCAGTGTGAAACTCGGACTCACTTCGGCCATTAGACTGTAAACGTACTAGATATTCGCAGAAGATTTCTACTGAATTAATTTCAAGGCTTACGAAGACGATGTGCTTGTGGTGATGTTCGACTGAGAGCTCGAATTTGAAACTGTATTCTAAAAAAAAATAAAAAGAAAATACTTTCTACTTGAGTGTAGAATCAAATGGATCACATTTGCTTATGGTTAGTTACCAGTACTTCATCTTTGGATAGTCCTCCGCTGTATCAATTTTTGCTACTACATTACCGCAAATATTAAAGGATCACTTCAGCTCAGAAGAAAACGTCCTCTCAAAAACAAAGAAAACATACCGATGCATATTTTGATAGCTCCTTGATATGATTCTAAAAACAAAATATGATCGCCAGCAACGACTTTTTTCTTCGGTCGCACCACCACCATGAACGAACTAGTATGTTTTTAATCGTTTATCTACTATACTTTATGCCAATGCACCATATGGTGTCATACAGCAATTATCCGTCCGACTTCGACTAATCTCCGAGGGATATGTTTAGCAGTCTACTCCATTCGTAGCATCTTCGAGCTGATTGAAAAATGTGTTGCCTCACATTGTCACGACGGTGTTTTAACCGTCCAGGCAAGTCTGGTACCAATTTACAGATCCAGAAGGATGGAAGGTCTGATGAGTCTTTAACGTGGGATCGAACTAATGACCACGTGTAGTGAAGGCACCTCTACCCACTGCTTTGCATGCACCTTTCTGTCGTGTTCGCAGATTTCGGAGTTTCAACCTAAAATTCCTCCGCTATATCAGTCCCCATGAATCCTATGTGTCATTGAGCTATGGTTTTTTCGTGTAGTTTTCTAAATTCCATACCAGCGATTAAGGAGGTTGAAATTTCTCTAGAGCATCTTAAGGCGCTACAAAATGTGGTCACCCGTTTTCATGACAATCAGGAAAGTCTTGCGAAACTGCGAAACTAGAAGTAACAACTAAGTGATTACTGTAGTTTTAACAAGGATTCGAAACCAAAAATACTTTGTAAGTTCAGCCAATCGTTAGTCACAGTCAATGTTTTCGAAATACCTTTTTCTTAACTGAATTGTGGTACTGGGTATAACTGGCGAATTAGATTAATAGGCAATCACTGAAGATTTTGACCAAACACAATAAATGAATGAAGGACATTTTTCCAACCAATGAGAATATTGCACTATTTATATAACCCACAAAAGAATGATCGGAACTTGAACGCTTGATTCGAAACATGCCGACAGACAAGTTATCCGTAATGTCCTTCATAAAGGAACTGGCACTCTGTGATGGCACTACTGTCGTAAGGATTACAACTGCTATTTTATTGATGAAAACATAAAGATCAATGACCTGTTCTTGCTAATGGGTTTTGAAAACTGTTCTAGACAGCAAGAATATAATCGCGCAAGAATATGATCACTCATTACTATTCCTCCCACAAAATGAGAAGAGCAGACTATACATCCAACCGCGTTATTAAATTCTTTAACAACCCAATTTGGTTCCACAAGATTTCTTTTTTTCGCCTGGGAATATACTGGAAACTAGAGAAGCAAAAGCAAACGTTACAACATTAGATCAATTGTTCTAGGGCTTTACTGACACCCGAGATGGTTCAAACACGAGCTATTTCAGCTGCACCGTGATTAAAGAGAGCAGTTGAAGCGCGTCTCAAGGTGGCTATGAAATAAGTTGCACTACAGAATTCGCCTAAGACGAAATTACCGAAACGTCAGTCATCGACCAACAACAACAACAACGACAACTTATACCAACCTCGCATCAGCTCGACAAGATCTGTTCATAAGGACATATAGATAAATATATCGACTTTTTATGACGAGGTCTATAAAAAGTCGGTTTTTTGAATTGCATTATCTCAGTATCTAAACCGTGTCAGTGGTCAAATACCTCCAACGAGCACGCCATCCTTCTCTGTCTCAAGCCCGAGGTGCTCAGTGGATTCCACTTCCTAGGGAAAGACAAAACCATATGCTTTTGATACCAGGCTCTCTGATTTCAGTGGCTTTGGCAAGGATAGGATAACCATGAATAGTGCGTCAAGTTCTGACGCGATAAGTATAACTTACCTACTTGGATACTTGGATGGCTCTTCTTCACTGGTTGTGCGGGCCCAGTACTCGCTTAGTTTAGCCATTGTATTTCAATGTTCCGTGGAGTCCTGTGCTCAGCCAGGCCAAAATCTCCTCTAGGTCGTCACCACCACAGGCTGCTTAGGTTGACCTTGCAGGAGAGATGGACCTCCGCTGTACATTGCAGCCCCGCACCTAGGAACACCATCCACGATGACGCGGTAAGCCATCAGAGTGATACGCTTAACTACCAAGTAGAAATTGCAATCTCTTTTTCAGCTTAGGTGAACCTGGCAAATGCATGAATCGCTGCCCATGAAGCCTGGACCGTCTCTTTAAATGCTTGTTCTGAACTCTACTAATGCAACCCTACATGATAGCAATCAACAGCACCACCACCAATCGAGATAGCGCTCTTGAAATAACACCATCTGAACAATCGGATTTCAAATGCCGATTTCAAAGATTTGTCGACATGGTCAGTACGTGCTAAGGGTATCTTTCTTCTATAACACATTCACCATGAATTGTGTTATAGAGATCTAAACTAAGTCCTATTTTCTTACCATGAAATAGAAAGAAAATGACTAAACGAAATACAACCACAACGTTGCTGAGATATTTGCAAAACTCTGGACCGCAGGTGTCTATGGTGGGGAACGAACGCGCTATTATCCTTTCCGGGGAGTAACGCGTTCACCACCACACCATGCGGGTCCTTTGTTTCGCACGTCTCTCAGCTATTTCTATCGATCTTTTTGCCACAGCAATCACCCGTCAGCGGGGTTGATCTGGGGAGCGCAAATCGGCATAGAACCCAGTTAAGCTATGGCTGTAGCCATGCTTAACTGGGTTCTATGCCGATTTGCGCTCCCCAGATCAACCCCGCTGACGGGTGATTGCTGTGGCAAAAAGATCGATAGAAATAGCTGAGAGACGTGCGAAACAAAGGACCCGCATGGTGTGGTGGTGAACGCGTTACTCCCCGGAAAGGATAATAGCGCGTTCGTTCCCCACCATAGACACCTGCGGTCCAGAGTTTTGCAAATATCTCAGCAACGTTGTGGTTGTATTTCGCTTAGTAACCTGCCATGAAAATTATAGAAGGCAGAAAACAAAACGTTAAAACAAAATGACTAAAATTAAAAAGTTCGCAACTTCCTTTAAACCATAATGGACGCACGCCATTTAGCTTGGCCCTCCAAAAAGAATGCCAGCAATTCTTCGTTGGCTAAGGACTTTCTGCTCTTTTTACAATAAAAGTTAATGATTTTGAACATGACAGAATTGCAAAAGAGAGTTTGCTGTATTGTCCCATGGATATCAATGATAGGCAAGCTACTATTTACTGTTAGTGTGGTCCGTTATGCGAATATACTGGTTCCAGCACTTGGAAGCATTTTGCACCCTCTGCTGGGTCTATTTCGGTGTTTTTTATATCTGCACTTGCCATGCAAAGACGACGTTGATTAGAATAAAGTGAGAGTTAGTTTTTGGTCATCGGTCAATGAATTTGTCCATAAAAGGTTTTTTTCTTAGCCATTAAGTGTAGAGAATTGATTTTTTGGTCTCTTTAATAATGTTTCGATCTGCTCTTGATCGGCTATCGAACGAATATACCGAATACGATAAAAAGAAAGTCCTGGGACGCACTAAACTGAAAAAGCACACTATAGTGCCCATGCCAAATGACATAGGTTAACATAGTTTGTTGCGATTGTTACTGCCATACCAATGACTGGAGACTCCACTGTGACGTTAAGTAGTCATCACAACCGACAAACATGTTCATCTTCTCAGGATGACGTATAGTTGCTGCAGCAAATAATTCTATCCAGGATTCAGGAAGGGACTTAAAAATCTTCTGGTCTGAATACTGAACAATTTAATGTACTGAATTCTCAGATGTATAACTAAGACTCGTCTTCTAGCAGCGCCATCTTGATTAGGAGCGAACCAGAACATCGCTAAAAAGTTAACGGACGTGGCAGCGGTTGTTCACTACAAGCTCTCCAGAACATCATGTCATTAAGTGGACTCTGCCGTCTCTGCTATAAAAAGTATGGAGATTATTAAAGGCTAAGAAAACATCGCGGTGTAGAAAACTTGGCGGAGTTTGAGCAACAGGACACATCCATGGTACGACATGGAGGGTGCAATTAAAGGCTTACTGGCCTTGGGAAATAGAATTCTTCATGAACCGACCTCATGAATACTACCATCCAGGCCTTTTTCCATTTCTTACAGCTATGAATAGTTTCATTGTCTAGTCAAGCGACAATAACTCATGAAGAGCTTCTTTGTTTTCATAAATTGTAGCAGGACTCCACAGAACTGACTGTTGCGCCGATGCCCTTGAAGCAGACATCGAATTCGGTTACTTGAATCGACAAAGTACTCGTGCGATTACTAGATAATCGTATCCGTGGAAATAATTTCACAAGCACTGGCACGAAAGCACCGAATTTCACCGCAGGCGACATTGATTGCAATAAGATCCGTGCCCTTTCGTGTCGACGTTTCTCTTACGAACCTCTAGGCGACCAGCACCATCAGTAGCTTCTTAAATCGGTGATTCCGTCACTCTTACAAAGCAGTGGCCCTGGGAGTCGAGCTCTGATGAACAGCAAGTATAAGTCCTCTATTCGATTTATATGTGCCAGAGAACACATTTAAAGACGAAATAGGAAGTGTAGGGCGGCGTTACATTGGGATTCAGGGAAGCTAATTCACGAAACACCACAACAACAAAATATCGTGTACGTAAAACCTGTGTCGAAGACTACACTATATGTTAGGACGAAAAAGCCCTTTGAATATCTATGGTATTCTTCAGGTACATTACGTTCTATCTGCTCTGATCATCCATTCGATTGAAAGGTTGAAAATTTCGAAATCCTGAG